GCTCTGAGCCCGGCCAGCCCCGGGAAGCGGCCAGGCACCACTTGGCTTGGCACGGCACAGCCTTGCCCGTAAGGGCCCTCGAGGGCCCCTCGCACTCTCCTGAGCAGCGGGTAGAACCTCTGGGGTCCCAGCGGTGGCAAGGATTTCTGCGGCCGCTGCTGGGGCTCCCTAGATTGCCGACAGCGGGGCGGGGCGAGGGACTGCGAGATGAGGGACTATTTGGTGTGAATTACATGGCAAAAACTGTCTTTGCGGGAAGACACGGGAGGCGTCGAGCTGGGAACCTCAGCAGCGCGTCCCCGACGGTTGTGCAGAGTTCGTGGTTCGGCCAGTTTGCAGAGGCCGTGGGAGGCCGGGGCACTACGGAGTGCTCGGGCTGCTCCGAAATGATCAGGGTCCCACAGGCAGCGGCTGCCGGGCACCCCGGTCTCCCCCTCCCAGGGCCCCGGAGCCGCCTGCGACAGAGGCAACGCAAAAAACCGGCGGGTGGCCCTGGGAAAGGCTCCAGAGATGAGCATTTCTGTTGTGTGAAGTGTCCGCATTAGCAGTCTGAACACGTAGGGGAAGGCTGACATCTGCGGTTTGGTACGAGGCACCCGAAAAATGACAGACCTCCTGGTTCAGAGTGGAGCCCCCGCTGCGGCTCCCGAGGGGAGGGACCCCCCGGCCCCCTGCTGCTCCTGCAAGAGCGGCTGGTCCCAGGGAAGGAGACATCCGCCCCTGAGCCTTCCCCAAGTCTAAAGGCAGTGATACGACACGGTCCCTCTACTTGGGACGTTCACTATCAGCTCCCAGACGTGAGAAGAGAGAGGGAGACTTTCCCTGTAAACTTTGAGCCTGATTCCAGTGGGAGCATAAATAATAATAGTTTCTAGGCTTTTGTCCCCGGTTTCCAAAATAACGCGTAAAGTCGAGGGTGCACCGTGGGTCGTTTTCCTCAGCCTTTGTGTCAACGCACCTCTGCTTTTGACTCACCACCGCACAGTTTAGTCCACCCTGGATTTTTCCAAGCTCATCCAGATCTCTGGCCTGGGCTCGAAAGAAGCCAGAACTAGTTTATTTCTAGCGAGCTTCAAGGACTGGGGAACCCCGCCTGGTAGACCTTGGGGAGCCGGCTGTGAAGGCGCAGTCGGATTGTCAGTGTGCAGGGGCCACCCCCTCTGTGAGCACACACTCACACACACACAAAACAGGGGCAGAAATATAGACAACCGTAGAGAAAGGAAGGTAAGTAAGCAGTAAAACCAGAAAAAAAAACCCCACAACGGTCTGAATTAAACAAAAAAAAAAAAAAAAAAAAAAAAAAAGGCAGCTAGCAAAAGAGGAGTCCTTAAACTTTCCTCTGGCTTTCTTCGCATTTTCTGTAGTTTTAAGTAGAGTGCTGAAGTCGCACGACGGAGGGCATATGCCATCTCCGCGGATCTGCGTTTGTATGACCGAAGTATTCAGGGGCACTCTTTCTACTGTGATGGTTTTCCCAGCAAGGATTCAGAAAGGAACAACACGCCTGAATGAGACATTGAAGTACCAATCTATGGGGCAAAGGATGTATTGTGAGAACAGATGAGGGTATGCTTGGCACCGCTGATATTTATTGACATTATCCAAAAAGAAATAAATTAAAGAAATTTAGGTATTCCGTGACACAATCGTTGCACAAACTGCCTTCAGTGAAGTTGTAGTTTGTTTTCAGGGCTCTTTTGCAAACATCCTCCACACATTTGGTTTGGAGGAAGAGTTCTTATGGGCTGTTCTGCATTTTCAGGGACTACCTAGTCAAATATGAGAGAAAAGAGTCTGTTTAGAAAAAGTGCTGCTTCGTGGAGTCCCATGTGCTTTTTAAGACGCCGTATCTCAGAGAAAAGGCCTGTGGTACCAGTTTCCTAGATCGTGTCAAATTATAACAAATTGAATAGCAAGAAGCAATTACAAAGGAAATATTGTGATCAGTGTTGTGCGTAAAATCAGAGCAGGGCTTATAAAGGAATATTAACTCTGATTTTTATTATTATTATTATTATTATTTCAAATCAACAGCAATTATATTTGTATTAAGCCTAAAGACCTTTTCCTGTAGATGGCGTCTTTTGGGTACTGAGTAATCAATAATACTACAGTCGTACCCAGGAGACTTTATTAAGCCTTGGATGTTAAAATAATTGGTAATTTTTTTAGTTATGAACTTATTGAAAGTGAAAAAGCCTTGATTTGTCGTAAGCAAAAGTGTGTTTCTCCTTCACGTGGATGCAAATAAAAACTGTTTGAATAAATAAGTTGTTTCTGAACATTTTGTTGTCAAAGTGTTAAAAGTCCCCGTCATTTTTATTCAAACACTAACATTACAGCCAATTATATATTCACCAGTGTTCTTTATTTTAAAGTAATTGTACTTTTCACTAATAAAACAGAGACATAATGGATCGCTACTGTTCTGAATTTTAAAGCCATTTTCTGTTATTCTATTGAATTATACATCGTCTACACTACTTTTTTACTTCTATATTTTAAAATTCTATTTTCTTGAAAATTGCAGCTCTATTCCCGTTTTGTTGTTCCTGAAGTAACGAAACCTTCTGTAACATTTATAAATAGATCCTCGTCTTTTTGGGGAAAATCAGAATTTCAGCCCCAACACACCGATAGCTTTAGACTCAAAATCTGAAAGTCCAGAGGAGCCCCCGAACCAGAACGCTTGCCTCCTCTGTGTCCTCCTTCGAGATGAGGAGCAGAACATAGAAAATGACAACAAAACCTCGACCTGCATAGAAAGTTTGACTGCTTTATTCTGATGATTTGGTGCGCTTCCTGGGGAGCAAACACAGAATCACAAGCAGTTCAGTGGCTAATATTTACCACACGAGAATAGGTAAAGACGGGGGCAAATACAATATCAGTTGCATCCCTCCAAAAGATTAGAGCGATTATCACTATGTTCTTTTGGGTGGCAGATGATGGGACGAAGCCCAGAAGTGACTTGGCTATCTTTGGCACAGACAACAGAGTCGCAGGGTGGTACGTAAGTACATGGAAACCCGGCACACGCACGGAAAACATCGCGCCTCGTTATTACCCCTCTCCTTGGGTGGCTGAGCTCTTAGAGGGTTGGGGTTTTGTTTTTTTTTCAAATCCGAAAACATGACTTATTTTAGCAATTGTATCAACTATCAACGCGATGAGGTATGATCCGTGTTGTCGCCAAACACAAATCAAAAAATGATACAAAGCCTTTACAAGTTAATTTCATGTGACAAAACACGTGCCCACCACAACAGATAAAGTTAAATTATCGTTTGCAAACCCTGCGACTGCGTGAAAAGGTACCTCTTAAGTACGTTTAGCACAGTCGAACGCGGATGTTATTTTCCGCTGTTCTGTAAGGTAAAAACGAGAGGAGTTGCGGGACTCCCGGAGGCTCACCGGGAGAGCCCTTCTGTCAAGCCTTGGCGGGACCCCATCCTGACCCTCCGTGAGAACATGCTTCTTGCCTATAACCCCAAGAAATCAATCTTGGAAGGAAAGAAAGAAAGAATGGAAGGGAAAAAAAAAAAGAAAAACAAAAAAAAAAAAAAAGAAAAAAAAGGAAAAAGTGATCTACTACTATCGTTTTATTTATTCTGTTTTTATTTACGTTATATATAACGTACAATGACTTGCGAGCCTTTTCTTTACCCTTTCATTGACGTTTTGAAATGAGTGTGAAAATAAAGTGTAATGCCATCCTGTGCTAATATTCTGCTAGTAGGCAAATAGAAATTATTTACTTGATGTAGTTTCCAGAGCTCCGGCAAGATTTGATTATTTAGGTGGAGTTTATAATCTCCATTATAATAAATATTGTTTTCTAAAAACTCCCTAGGAAACGTAACCTCTGAGTTTGTGTGTGAGTGTGTGTGTGTGAGTGTGTGTGTGTGTGTGTGTGTGTGTGTGTGTGCAAGCCTATGCGAGCGCCCAATCTAAAAGACGCAGAGGAGAAAACACACAAAGGAGAAGCATCCAAGGAGAGCTCTTTCTTTCACCGTTTTTCCTCTCCGCATTGTCAGTGCGCGGAAAGTCTGTCTGCAGCCACTTCTCTTTCTTGGTCAAATTATTGTCGAGGCAAAACTACAAACCCCAGGCTTTAGCAAGGCACCGTCCGTGCTCGGTGGGAGGGACACAAATGGGATTTAACTTGTTGCCAGTCATTTTTTTTTTATGTTTGTTTGTTTGTGCTGGTGCTTTAAAAGCGAAACAAATTCCCGAAACAAAGGGGGGGGAAAAGGAGGGGGGAGCTGGAGGGAGGGAGGAAGGGAGGAGGGAGGGAGGGAGGGAGGGAGGAGGAAAACAAGCTCTGTGCAAAAGACATATCATATTAAAATAATACAAGAACACACCCACTGATATCAAGGGTACTGTATCAGCTCTTCCCCAAGAAACTTATTTATAAGTGGTAGCGGTTATAATAATCCAACAAACCCTCTACTATCACTCCCCCCTCCCTCCGCTAAAGAAAGAAAGAAAGAAAACATGGAGACCACCCTGCCCGATATAAAAAGTGCTCAGAACAACCTACATAAAGAGGCAACGCCCGCCAACTCTGCTCATGCGAGGGGACCAAGAAGTGCCCAAGGTCTGCTCTGCTTCCCGGGCAGCGTCCTGGGAGCTAGAGCAAATCTCTTTACCCGGCACCACAAGTGCGGGTCCCACCGCTGCCTTGCGCTGACGGGCCGTGCCCCAGCACCGAGTCCCTGAACCGCCTCCTCCCTCCTGAGCCCCAAGCACCCAGAAAGCCCAAATGGACTTTGCCCCGCGTCTGGCCGAGGGCCTGCTCCAGACGGGTGTAGAGCTGTTCGTGGCTTTTGTGCTATACCGGGCATTTTGCTATGGTTACAGGGGGTCCCTGGGCGGGATGGGGTGGGAACTGTAAGAGAAGGATGTTGTGATTTTGTAGGCCCTAAAAATTGGATCCTCAGTTAATCTTGGAGAGCCCGAGATCCCTGGAAGTCAAGGGGTGCGGTGGAGATGCGGTGCAGTGCAGTGCAGTGCGGAAGAGGAGCTGCAGGGTGGAGCGAAGCGAGCAGCGCCGGGCGGGCAGGTACGTAGGATGTGGGGGCAGCCCCGGCGCCCCCCTTCTGCGGAGCGCTGGGGTGAAACAGCACCGGGAGGAAGAGTACACCGGTCCTTGTGCCTAAGAAGGCAGAATAGAAGCGGTGGGAGGTGGGAGGTTTTTCTCTCGAGTTACCGAAAAACTGCAAACCAGATACATGTGTCATTTGCCAAAGATTACGTTTGTAAGAGGCTAAAGAGCTACAACACCATGAAAATATTCCAGCCACAGTTTTTAGGAGTCAAAGAGCAGCTAAAAGTCTTCTTCAAGCACTATTTGGGTTTGTAGAGTTTGGGTGGTTTGTGGGGTTTGTTTTGGTTTTTTCTTCTCCAGGTCTTTTTCTTGCCCTGTATTTTATTTCCCTAATCTTTAATTCAGTGTGATAACTCCGGCAAAAGCACTGCGTTGGCCAGGAATATTTTAACAGTAAACACAAAAGAATATAAAATTATGTATTTAAACCTCGAGAACAGTCCAAGGTTTTTAACTTGTCCATTTTCTCCCTGCATTTCATTATTGCCGTCTGCATAACTCTGTGGATAATTGTTAAGGGATATTTAATTTTCGGTTTGATTCCTGAGTCAGGGAAAGCTTTTATTACACAGGGGCACCTATTACCTAGGCAGGTGTGACGGCTCTCTTATGCAGACTGACATATAAAATAATAGTGACATTTAGGATCTAAGAAACCACACGTCTTAACGTTAAAGTTGGCAGCGAGTGTAAAAATATTCTGTTCTGAAAAATTCTGGCAGTGGCAGCTGAACACACCAAGTCTGGTGGATGCTCTACACTCTCGATACAGGCTCTCTGTGGATGGTATTCCACAGCTACAGGAATAAATAAATAAAATCTCCAGCTTTTAACTAAAGCTATTTAATTCAGACCTCTCCACTCAGCGTAGCCGCCGTGGGAGATGTATACTCCAGTGTTTACTCGGATGCCTTTCTGCCACTATTCTATCTTGCCTTTCCCTTACGGAACCAGCAAAGCTTTCTGGTCCCCGCAGCCATGTTTCCCGGTTCCACGTTCTCTGCCCAACCTCTGCCCGTCCAAGGAACTTCTGAAAGTTCATCGGAAGGGGAACTCTCCGCACCTCGGTGGTTAATGTCACTGTTTTAACGCTACCTCTCCCCGAGCTGCGCAGGCTTCTCCAAGGTACACAGTGCCCCGCTGGCTGTTCTTTATGGTACAGTGCAGCTTCTCAAAAGATCATCGGACGGAGAAATTTAGCTCTCCTTGAAACATTTAAACAACGGAGCAATTAGTTCTGAATGGGGGTGGGAGGAGGGAAGACTAGAGAGCTTAAAGGGGGGGTGGGGGGTGGGGGTGGTGGGAGAGGAGATACAACACAACTAGCCCGAAAACAACAGGGGTGGGGATACATGGGAGGGGGACATAAAATGTTTGTATTTAAAGGGTGCTTTCAAGGTCTTCGGCACAATATGTGCTGCTCTCCTTAAAGGGGCACAGAGTGCCAATAACCATTAGTCATCCATCAGAGACTTTTCATTACAGATCTATCTTTAGAGGGAGTTCCCCGAAGTCTCCGGAGGGAACATAGCTGCGGATTTCAAACCCGGTCCGGTTCCAGTCGCACAGTGCCTGCTGCAAAAGAAAGAGAGATACTCACCAGAGTTTCAGGAGTGCGCGGGTAGTCCAAAGGTCTCTGCGGTGCTCCTTCCCTCTGCGGAATACTATCTTGCATCCGAGGCAGTTCCCAGTCTATATCTGATGTTACCATTTATGCTATCTCGAACACGAGACTCTCCCATAGACATTTTTTCCAGGGTTTTCAAGAAAATTTCTCGATGCCACAATGTTATGATGGAAGGATGCTGAAATGACAGGCCTCGTAGACGCTTGTCTTAATCATCGGCTTCTTAATTTAGTTTTAGTGCTGTGGTTTTGTATGTGTGTGCGTGTGTGTCTGCGCGTGTGTGCGCACAAGAGAAGCCTCTGACAACCTGCAGCTTCCTAATGACTGACGAGGCAGGGCTGCTGCAGCAAAGTAACACTTCCCTGGTGTGAAGACCTCTTACTGGGAAGTTTAGTTCACTACTGTTCTCGCAATCCTAATCGTATAACCTGTAACCAAAACCCACGGAAGAAAGATACAGCATGCTACATAGACTAACTTCTAATCACCAAACGTTAGCACCACTACCAGCTGTTGCTGATTAATTGGAAGTTGGCTATAGATGGACACCTAAACTTAGATCCACAAATACAACTAGAAGGGTGGACCGTTTCATGATTCTTCCTCTCCCTTCCTCTTTGCCTCCATTCATCCACCCACCCACCTTCAGTCCCATTCACCCCTCTTCAGAATGTTTGACTACCTCCTTCTCTTTGTTCGCGCACCGCTCAGTTCCCACTCGCCGTGCCTTGGCAGCAGGGTATCAGTGTCTGCTGGGAAGCCCTTACCTTAATTCCCCAGGTAACCTGGACTGACTAAGGTAGGCTTAAAGTCAAGGGGGAACAGACTTATACATGCAGGCGTTTACCGTACCGAATGTGAGATTACTGACTGCTAAACCGTAGTGTCCCGACTAGTTTAATGGAAGCATGATGCCATCGAAGCGTGGTTATTAAATACCCTTTCCTCCTGGCTGAAAAAAACCCTTTCATTTCTTAAGCTGTCAGTACATTTTAACCCCTTGAAAGAATTTGAGAGTACAAGGCCGCTACACCCCTGGGAAGGGGAATTGAAGGCTAGAGCTGGAGGGAGATGGGGGGCACGCTGTGTCCATTGAGCTTACAGTAGAAAGAGTCTGATTTTCCACTGGCTTTTAATTTAAAATAATAATTAAAAAAAATTATTTGTGAGAAAAATGTGCCGTTGGAATTCTATCTCTACGAGTTATATCACAGAACTGCACGGAGATTGCTGTCTGACCTCTTCATCCAAGACATTTCAGTCCAGCTACTCACCCCCACCGTGACCCCGGAGCTGGACACTCTCCGCCCATCCCCTTCGCTCAGGGCGGCGTGTCCCCAGCTAGGCGGGACAGCAGGTGAACAGCTGCCTATGAGCAGCGCCGGGTCCCCTCTGCCTACCCACTCGTGTTCTGCAGGGCTGGGGCCGTGCGCTCCCTTTCCACTCACACGCTGCTCCTCCAGACACCCCACGAACCCATGCCTGTCGGGGAGCGCTGCCGTGAGGGGCCTTCGGACAGCAACCAGAGCTGGGGGCCCAAGCGGGCTCCACGATCCGCAAAGCCATCACCGGAAGGGACGGGAGCGGGTGTCGTGACCAGGGCAGAGCTCAAGGAAGAGCTCGTACTAAGGCCGGAGTCCTGCCTTTCCAAGTAAAAAGTAAACCTCCAATTTTTTACAAGGAAAATTCTCTGCTGGAGAGGGGGAAAAAAAAAAAAAAAGGTAAAAAAAAAAAAACAAAACCTACTCTAAAGTCCATCAGAATTAATAATTGAATTGGCTTCTCTCACATATCCTTCTCTGTCCTGTAAACAGAGAATTAATCTTCATGGGCTTAGAGATATATACTACATATTGGACACAACATTTCCTTCTTTGGTAGAACTGTATATCCACGGCATTAAAAAAAAAAAAAAGAAAAAAAAAAATCTAAGTTTGTGCACAGAGCTTTATTCTGCATCCGTGACAAATGACTGTACGTTAAATCTAGATCCTCAAATGTGCTAAAAACTTGCTTCTTTCGGTGCTAGCCCTTTGCTCAGAAATGCGAAAGGATAAAAGGTTTAATTTCTTCCCCGCTGCATTTCCATCCCTGATCACAGAGCAAAGTAAACTCAGCTTTGACCTAAGAAACACCTCAATGCATTAAAATTTCAACAGGCAATGTCAGTGTTACATTAAACGAGAACTCCTCCATCTCACTGCAGAGCTGGGATTTGAATAAAACGCTCAATGTTAACAAACAATACACACGTTTGGCACTTTGTGTATTAAATGGATCAAAGAGATTTGATAAGGCACAATACACCATTTGTACAGACCTGATTGAGTTAATATAATATCAGCAAATTTTACAGCGAAATGAATCTGTTTCTTTTCTTTGTGTTTAAAACCAGCACAGATTACAAATTTTAATGATCTGAAAATGTTTGGTATACAAAATCATGCTTATTTCAGTATTAGCAAAAACACAAGAAATTTTTCAACACAAACACCCAGCTGTGTCTATTTTAAAAGCAGTTCAATGACAGCTTGCACTTATGAGCATGCAATCAGCTAATTTCGCTTTTTTTTTTCTTCTGTGTTAATCAACACTTTCCTTCCTGCATATCAGAGTACAAATAGTATAGTTACTCCACATCAGTAAATGTTTACGTAACCTGTCCTTTCTCAAGAATCCGGTTACATCGAATCATTACATGCTAGACCGAGTAGGAAAATGCACTGGGCCCAGCCACTCTAATGGGGATGCTAGTGCACCATAATGACACATATTAGTTAATGATCATCATAATCATAATAATATGCAAGAATCTTACCTTTCCTCTTACCCTTTGCCATGGTCGACTCAAGCCATATCCTCCACACTGTACTCTTTCTCGAGAATTCTCACTCATTGACTTCAGTGTTAAGTAATGAAATAATTACAAATTGACGTGTTTTTTTTTTTTAACTGCATTTCTAAAAAAAAAAAAAAAGGAGGTAAAAAAGTAAAAAATCAGCGTGGTTGTACACTGACTTCTATCTCCTTTTTTTTTCTTTTTCTTTTTCTTTTCTTTTTTTTTTTTTTTTTTTTTTTTTTGTCAGTAGCAACCTGTTATGAAATTGGATAAATAAATACAATTGTGGTAAGGTCATTCGAGGTTAATCCAATGCACAGAGTTCATGCCATTCCCAATTGCAATTGTTTATTAACGGCCCATTGTAATTGTTCTCCTTATTTACTCTCTCTTACACTCTCTCCCTCACACACACACATCCACACACACAAACACATACACATACACAAAACGCATATCCACACACAACCGCATTTGCTGCAGAGAGCTCTAACCTGAATTTCCCCGGGACAGATTGTTTCAGCTGGGGTTGAGCTGCACCTATTATTTCTACGGATTATCTTTTCCTACAACACGAAAGTAAACTTTCGGGCACTGAGCGCGGCGCTGTACGTTCTGCTTCTGTTCGAGCGCGATCAGCACGCTCTCCATCCAGTACGTTTCCCCTTCTACCTCCCGAGGGAAAAAGCTCCGCGGTTTATTTCGCTTTGTTTCAGGGCTGATTTTTTTTCCTTCTCATGATCACAGTGAGGCCCAAAGGGGTGAGTCCAGCGAACACCAGCCCCTGGGCCCAAGGACTCCGCAGCCCCGAGCCCGACTCTCTTTGAGGGGAGCAGGCAGGAAGCGGCTGTGCCAGCCCGGTTCTTTTGCCCCTCCAGCAGCCGAGTAGTGGACCCCAGACACCCCCCCTCCCCCAGCGACACTACACCAAACCCCCATGGACAGACACCGAGGGCCGGGCCTGGGGGAGCGGAAAAAATCGTAATATATTTCCTGGGTTATTAGTAGTAGTATTTATTTTTTACACCTGACACGCGGCCTGCGGTTTCCTTGCTGGAGCGAGCTGGCAGCGCCAAGGCAGACACGGGAGGACCCGCCGCCCCGCCGGCTGTGGACGGAGAATCGGGAGCTAAGCCCGAAACGCGAAACCCAAAGTCCGGCTCCGTCACCGGCCTGGCACTGCTCCCGCCCGCCGGGGGTACGGGGAGAGCGCGGAGAGGAGAGCGGAGAGCGCTCTCCCGCTCCCGTGCCTTCCCACCTCACATGCCGTGCCGCGGCAGGCATGGGGCCGACCGGACCGCCGGACACCGTCTTCCCCGGCAGGCCGCGGCCTCCGTCCCGCCCGGCCCACTGCCGCATCCCCGGCCAGTGTCGGCTGCAGGCCGGCCCCACCTTCCGCGTCCCCTCCAGCTGATTATTATTTTTTCTTTTCTTTTCTCTCTTGGTAAAACAATAAACAAATAACCGGGGCCTAGAAAAAATAAATTTGCCGAGTGACTTCGGGGGGATCCGCAAAATAGTACCTCCGCCCCCGGCGCGCCGCGGCCTCCTCTCCCACCCGGCCTCCCAGCCCGCCTCCTCCGCCGCCAGAGGAGGGGACAGAGAGCGACGGGGCAACTTTAGTCCACCGGAGAAACTAGGAAGTACGAAAACCCGGTCGGGCCAGCAGTCGTGGGACAGGCGCTGTTTGTTTGGCGTGAGGGGATTTGTGTCGGGCGGAGGGAGGTTGGAGAGGGCAGAAGGTGTGTGTGGGGTGCCCACAAATCGCCTTGGTGATGCGCCCCTGCGCCGGTATCCCTGCGCCGCGGGAGCCGCCGCGGTGGCGGCGGCGGGGGGCGGGCCGGCGGCAGGCGGAGGGCGGGGCCGCTATCCGCCATTGGCCGGCGGGCGGGCCGACGCGCGGGCACGCCGCTGGCCCTGATTGGGCCGCCGGTGGGAAAGGTTAAACCAAAAAATGTTTTACAGCGGCGGTGCGTGTCGGCAGCTCTGAAATTAATTGCGGCCCCGGCGGTCCGTACCGCCCGGCTCCGCTCGCTCCTCGCCGACCCGCGGCTGCGGCTGCTCCGTCCTCCCCCCTTC